AAATAAGAAGGTAAAGATGATTAAGCTGGCCCAAGGCATACAGTGATGTTACTTTTTTGAAATAGGACTGGATTTCAACTTGTTTTTTCTTTTCTATTGCCTCTCATAAAACTGTACTTGAAAATGAGTCAAGATCTCTGGTTAACCAAATCTTCAAGATTTCTGGTTAATCAAATCTTCAATATATACCACATTAAATGTTTTGGAGACCCTAGGTTACAGAATATTCTTTTTTCTTGTATAACCGAAGTTTTGGACTCTTTCACTAATACAACCCCACAGCACTTTCTCCCAGATCCTGCCAACAACCATTCTACTCTCTGCTTTTATGGTTTTGAAGATTTCAGATGTCTCATGTAAGTGATATGTAGTATTTGTCCTTTTGTGTCGTGTTTGTCCTCCAGTTTCTCCGACATTATCTCAGATGGCAAGATCGCCTTCTTTTTTAAGTCTGACTAGTATTGTAGTGCACCACATTTTCCTTATCTGCCCGTGGACATTGAGATCATTTTCATATCTTGGCTGTTGTGAATAATGTTGCAATGAACATGGGAGTGCCGATAGCTCTTTAATATCTGATTTCCATTCCTTTAGATATAGGATCATAAAAGGGATTGCTGGATCATATGGTAGTCCTATTTTTAAATTCTTCAGGAGTCTCCATACTGTTTTTGACAGTGACTGCACCAACTTATATCCCCACTGACAGGGACAAGGGTTTCTTTTTCCACATGCCTCCCAACACCTGCTAACTGTCGACACCATTCTAACAGGTGTAATGTGATATCTCATTGTAGTTTTAAAATTTTTTAAAAAGTTTTATGCATTTATTTATTTGAGAAAGAGAGAAAGAATAAGCAGGGCGGTGGGGTAGAGGGAGAGGGAGAAAAAGACTCCCCACGTGAGGCTCAATCCCAAGGCCCTGAGGTCATGACCTGAGCTGAAGGCAGTCGCTTAACCAACTGAGCCACCCGGTGTCTCCTCATTGTACTTTTGATTTGCATTTCAAAATGATTTGATTAGTGATTAGTGATTAGTGATATTGAGTGATATTGAGCACCTTTTCATGCACCTGTGGTCCTCTATATGCTTTCTTTATAGAAAAGTCTATTTTTTTTTTTTTTTGCTTACTTTTAAATCAGGTAATTCTTTGTGTTTGTTGCTGTTTTTATTTTTTATTTTTTAAAAATATTTTTATTTATTTATTTGACAGAGAGAGCGATCACAAGTAGGCAGAGAGGCAGGTGGGGTGGGGGGAAGCAGGCTCCCTGCTGAGTAGAGAGCCTGATGTGGGGTTCGATCCCGGGACCTTGAGATCATGACCTGAGCCGAAGGCAGAGGCTTTAACCCACTGAGCCACCCAGGCACCCCTTGTTGCTGTTTTTAAAAATCAAATTGTATGAGTTCCTTTATATATTCTGTAAATCAACCCCTTATCAGACATACAGTTTGTAAATAATTTCTCCCATTCTATAGCTTGCCTTTTCATTTTGTTCATTATTTCCCTTGCTGTGCAAAAGCTCTTCAGTTTGACGTGATCCCATTTGTCTGTTTTTGCATTTGTCACCTGTGCTCTTAGTGTCATAGCCAAGAAATCATTACCAAGGCCAACATCACGATTTTTTTCCTTGTGTTTTATTCAAGGAGTTTTATGTTTCAGGTCTTATGTTTAAGTCTTTAGTTTATTTTGAGTTAATTTTTTTATTTTTTAATTTTTAAAAAGATTTTATTTATTTATTTGACAGAGAGAGAGATCACAAGTAGGTAGAGAGGCAGGCAGAGGCAGAGGGGGAAGCAGGCTCCCCGCCGAGCAGAAAGCATGATGAGGGGCTCAATCCCAGGACCCTGAGATCATGACCTGAGCCAAAGGCAGGGGATTAACCTACTGAGCCACTCAGGCGCCCCTTGAGTTAATTTTTTTTAAAGATTTATTTGTTTTAGAGAGAGCGCGGAGGAGCATGAGGATGGGCAGAGGGAGAGGAAGAGAGAGGATCTCAAGCAGGGTCCCTGCTGAGAACGGAACCTGGTGCAGGGCTCCTTATTATGACCCTGAGACCATGACCTCAGCTGAGATCAAGAGTCAGACCCTTAACCAACTGAGCCACCCAATTTTGAGTTGGTTTTGGTGTACGAAAAGGGTATAATTTAATTCTTTCCCATGTGGATATCCAGTTTTCCCAATACCATATATTAAAATGACTACCTTTTTCCCATTGTGTATTCTTAGGCCCTTGTCAAATATCAGTTGACCATTGGTTGACCATATATGTGTGTTTATTTCTGGGTTTTCTATTTTGTTCCACTGGGTCTATATGTCTTTTTTAGTGCCAGTACCCTACTGTTTTAATTGCTTTAATTTGTAATACAGTTTGAAACTAGAATGTATATTGCCTCCTGCTTTATTCTTCTTGCAGAAAATTGCTTATTATTAATTATTCTTTTGTGGTTCCATATGAATTTTAAGATTTTTTTCCATTTCTTTAGAGATTGACATTGGGATTTTGATAGGGATTGCACTGAATCTGTAAATCATTTTGGTAGTCTGGACATTTTAACATTGCTTCTTCTAATCCATGACCACAGTTATCTTTCCATCTGTGACTGCTTTATATTGTTTTATAGTTCTTAGTGCACTGATCTTTTGTCTCCTGGGTTAAGCTTATTCCAAAGTACCAGAATAATTTTAATACATCAAATATTACAGTAATATTTATAATTCTAAATGCCTACTTATATACATAGTATAAAATTCAAAATATCTTTCCGGTGCATTTAAATTTGTAGTTATAATAGAAGGACACTAAATCTGCATCAGCATTCCTTGTGATTTTGTCATTTTTTAATGAGCATCCTGTGCTTAAAAAAAAAAAAAAAGTTGAGGGGGGAGAAAGTCAGGGTAGCTGCCCTTTCTCTCCCTTTCAGAAGAAATGGAGTGAGCCCCTGGGCAGCCACCAGATTGGGAGAGCTGGGCATACTGTGTTGAGGCAGAATGCAATGAGACTAATTTCCTCATACTAATTGTCAACAAGCTAGGCCCTTCACTCATCCCTGGCCATTAGGGAAAAATTATGGCGCTTGCAAGAGGAAATGCTAAAAGTTAAAGTCAACTGGTGGTATTGCCCTGGTCTTTGGCTTGGCATATTAATTTGGGGGTCCATGTTTTCTCATTTTCAAACTGGGACATGTTGATAACACGAGGGACTGAAGTAGGGAATCATCCTGGAAAACAACTTAGAAGTCCAAGAATAGAAAATATTAAAACCCAAGTATCACAGAACAGACATGTTCAAAAAATCTTTATCTTTGATGGGGGATGGGAGGTAAGATCTGAGAAATACCAAAGTTTCCGGATAAGGTGGTATAGGGACTCTATTCTCAGTTTATATGGGCTACATGGTACATCAACCGAATAATACTATTGGCACTTTAATCCGCGTGGTGGGAGAGAACCAGAAGCTGGACTAAATATGGGCTCAGCTTTCCTATAGTCTGGATCCAAATTTTATCAATATTACTGTTTGACCTGGGCCTAGTTACATAAACTTTGCGTGAATCCCTGAAGTTGTGGTTCATAATAGTACGTGCCTCACAGAGTACGAGTTTTACGAGAGGCATATAAGAGCCTTAGCGTTGGGCCAGATACACAGTAAGCGCTAAGTTTTATCCATTAGCATTAAAGACAAAGACTTTAAAGACAAACATTTCACCTACAGGCCCTTTTAACGGGACAAGCATACTATGCAGGGGCGACAATTGCAGGGGGCTCCGTCTCTAAGGAGTGGAGCTGGAGAAAATGCATTTGGTACTACGCCTGCCGCCTGCCTGCCGGGAAAAGTCGTCATTGGCTGGAGGGAAAGGTGAGCCCTATGTGCCTGTTGGGGGGCGGGGGGAAAGGGAATGAATGTACCATAAGCCTCTTCTCTTCCAGGACACGCTCATGCTCCCAGACGGTTACTAAACGGCTTTCCAAGTTCTCAGCTGGTCCTCTAAATGAAATCTGAGCAAACATTTAAAGAATATCCGTTTGAGCCAAAGTATTAGCCTGCCCTTGGCGACTACACGTGGGGCAGGCCGGGCTCAAACAACAACAGATGCTTGTGTCGCCCCTATGTGCAAGCATCGTTCTCAGCGGTGTACGTGCATCAGCTCACTCAAAGGCATCGCGGCCCTGGGAAGTAGGTGCCCTTCACATCCCCCTACTGCAAAAGCCTGCCAAGGTCAGGCAGCCGGCGAGGGATGGGGCCAGAGCCGACCACGCGCGCGGTGGGCCACAGCGGGCGCCTTGCGCCCACCCTGCCAGGGAAGGGGGCCCCGGGAATCCGGTGCCTGCAGCCACGCGAGGACGGCTGTGGGCAGGGGGAGCGAAGGGACAGGCTGCCCCGGGTATCCCCTGCGCGCGGAAGCGCAGTCCTTAGCCGGAACGTTCTGGAACTCCCCTGCGCAACCATGGGCTGGGAAAGCCCAGGTCCGGCCGAGACCCCACCCGTAAGAGCGTGGCCGCCTTAGAAGGTCCCCCGCGCCGACAAGTCGCGGGCGAGGGGCGCGCGCACGGACAAGACCGCACTGTTTAGCGCACGCGCACACGAGGGCGCACGCTCGCCCGCCGCCCAGGATGAGACGGAGGCATGGAAAGTTCCAGCTGGTTCGAGAACCGTAGGTAGCTGGAACGTTGGCGGCAGGGTCGGAGGCGGAGTGCGGCCCGCGCTGGCCCCTCCTGGCCTAACCCCCGGCGCCGCCCCCGCGCAGCGGCTGTGGGGCCAGGGGTCCCGGCGGGGGTGGCGCGCCTGGGGGAGAAGGACTGTCGAGGGGGCGCGGCGCGGCCGCCTTAAGGAGGGAGCTGGGCGGGGCGCGCGGGAGGCGGGGCGCGCTGAGGGGGGCGTGGCGGGCCATCTGCGCAGCTGCCAGAGCCTTAAAGCCCGGGCTCGCTCGGCCGGAGCGTGCTTTCGCCGCCCGGGAGCCTTCCGGCCCAGCCGTCCGTCCGGCCCCCGCGGTCCCCGCCCCTCCTGCGTCCCGGGAGCCGGCTCGCTCCGGAGCCGCGCGCGGTGCGACCGGGCATGCCCCGCTACGAGCTGGCTTTGATCCTGAAAGCCATGCAGCGGGTAAGTGACCTTCCCCCCAGAGCCCGCCTTCCCGCGCGGGCGCCCCCCAACCCCCCAGCCGCTAGGCCGTCGCCCCCCGCTCTCCCCGCGCGGCCGGGGTGGGGGGGAGGCTGGGGCCGTGGGCAGGCCGGGGCCGCGGGCGGGCGGCGGGCGTCCGCGCTGAGGGGGCGCGCGTGGGCCGGCCGGCGCGGCGAGGCCGCGTGCGCGCGGGAGGCGGGGGTGTGCCCGCGCGGGAGCGCGGCCGCGGGAGGGTGTGCCTCGCACGCGGCCGGCCGGCGGGGCGGGCGGGGGGCGGGGCGGGCGCGGGAGACCCTGGAAGGTCCGCGGGAGGACACGCGCGAGCGCCCGGCCCCGCGCCCGCCGTCGCCAAGCTGCCTCGTCGCCGGCCCCGCCGCCGTCGCCGCCGCCGCCGTCGCCGCCGCCGCCCGCTCCGCCTCCACACTAGCGCCCGCCGGCCGCCCCGGAGCCGTCCGCGCTCAATAAAACGTTCTCCACAGCGTGGTTTGTGCAGTTTTCTGGACCACGGGCGCTTCCGACCGATCTCACGTTAAAAAATCTTTGACTTCTCTTTTTCTGACTTCAGCGAAAATCCTGCTCCGGGTGCCCTTAGCCCAGTTTCATTCATCCGAGTTGTGGCCTTTTTTGCGCCTTCCGGAAGAAACTTTTCTCCCTCCCCCCACCCTGCTTTTGATTGATCTTGAGGTAGGGGATTTCAGGTTTGGAGGGATGCTAAGCGAGCCTGCAGCCCCTTCGTTGCAAGTGATGGTGTGGCCGAGGACAGGGCCCCGCGGCCCCGAGGCAGCTCTTCGTCCTCTGTGCTGGGTCAGGTACTCCACAAGCCTTCGCCGAAATCCCCATCCTTCCCGTGAATTCGGTAACGTAGAGTGTGGTGTGTGCCCCCCTCCACCTCCCCCGCCCTTCGCCCAGATACGATAATTAATGAAAGCTCTACCATGGCTGAACTTTGCAAGCAGAACTTTCGACAGCGCTAGAATCATGCTTTGGGCCCACTCGGAGGAGTAGCTATTCACTGACGTTTGGTTGAACTTAAATTTAGGCCTGGCATCACGGTCCAACTTCTATAGAAAAGCCGGGGGTCACGGGGCGTTAGGAGATGGTTAGTCACCGCACACCCCAAAGCGGGAGAGGACACCAGTGCCTCTTGATGAGGCCTAGAGAGGTTGGTCAGGCGTGCCATTGTGTCCCCAAGCTTGTTCTCCCAGAATTTGGGAGAAGATAAGATTGTATTGTTTAGCCTCTGGAATATTCCCCTTTCCCGGCCCTTCTCCCTCCACCCTGAGATGTTACTGCTTAAGGAGAATAGGAACAAGGAAAAACCAGGAGCATATTTTTAAAAAGGAAACATTTTTAATTATGTAGACATTGGTTAAGCCCTCCCTTTAACCTGTGCTTTTTAGGCAATATACCATAGAGCCTGGAAAATGTGGTTATTGAAATTTATCTTACCTTGTTTTAGGGACCAAACAGGTAGCATTAATCAGAGTACAGGCATAATATTTGTTTATTCCATAAGCCTTTAAAATGAAAACTCCACACTCTGGTTTTAGCGTAGCGGCCAGGTACATCCTGTTAGTTAACGCGGCTCCAAGCAGATTAGTTTAAATGTATTTGCTTTACCATGTTACTTGTATTTCTTTGTATCCTGTTTTTTTGTGTGTGTGTGTGCTCCTGTATGTAGTGTAAACATTTCTTTAGTTCAGGTAAGACACATAGTGCAGTTTGGTGAAAATGATAATTGAATACTTTCCCTGAAGTCTCTGAGTTGGGGGGCGGGGGGAACAACCCATTAGCAGATAATCAAGGTGAACAACTCCTTGGAGGAGGCGGCCTCCGTGGGAGCAGATAGGACAGTGTAACAACTGTGAAGTTGTGTCTGAAGAGTTCTTGACCTGAATAAAGTCAGATTAAACAACAACAAAAACCTCTCTCTCTTTTTTTCTGTTCATAAAACTAGTTTTGGAGTAGGTTGTAACTGTATAACAGACATTTCCTGGTTTTGAACAATTTTGATTTCAGCTTAGGAAAATGGGATTCTAAAATAAGATCAATACTTGGCGGGGGGGGGGGGGTGGGGGATGAATGAAAACGTTCACATTAGGTTTATGTTATGCAAAATGCCACTTGTGAGCTCCTACACCTTTGGCAGGCCTGGAGAACCCCAGTTCTAGTCTGTGGCAGTTTGTTTCGTCTGCTGGAGGCCTATAGTGACGGCTCAGTTGTGAGTGGCATGTTTTTCATATTTTTAGATGCTGAAGTGTACATCCCCTTTAACGGGATGGTTTAACCCCCATCCACTCACTGATGTGTCTTGGGATTGAGGAAGTGGGCTTATATTGACAACTCTTAGAGCAGCCATGGAAGTTGAGACCGATGTCGTTTTCCCAGCATTTTTTGTTTAGATTCCCTGAGGTGTCTTCCTTTCTGTTTCTTTTTTGTAGTGCTCTAGAAGCCTGAAGAGCATTCCTGGTCTCTTTGGAGTGCGTTACTCCCTCCTCCCCTATTTTATTTCCTTCCACCCCTAGCTGGGCTCCTTAAAAATGAGCATACAAGAATTTTTAAATTGAAAATGCAGAAACTCTGTTGAGGCTCTCAGCATGTCTTGTATGGGAGACCCCTTGCGTTGTAGCAGTCAGCTGTGGGGGTTCCCCTTGAAAGGTTTCAGGGTGTAGTATACAGAATGAGTCCTCCTTGAACCGTACAATTTTGTGTTGATCAGTCACTTAGAATTTCCAGTGCTGTTTTTCTCAGTTTGCAACTGGGAGTTAAATGAGTCTGCTTTTTTCATACATCCAGGTTTATGCATTTCTGAATATAGTTACCAATCCTCCCAAGAAGAAATTGATTTGCAGGTGCCCTTTAGCTGGAATGTTGTCTCAGTTTTGTTTCTCCCTAATTTTTACTATGAAAAAAGTTGTCTCATTTTTGTTTCTCCCTAACTTGTATGAAAAGTAGGTAAAAGTGTGACTAAATTCTGCAGTTGGACGTGGTAAAGTAATGCGTGTTGTGAAACCAGGCCTTCAGAGGTGATGATTAAAGCCATTTGAAAAGGTTGCTTAGACCAGTCTTAGACCACATTTATAGAAGGGTCTCTAGAATAAAAAGATTTGAGTCATGTTACACCTATATCAAGATAACATCAGAGGAGTTTTCTAACAACTGAAAAAGAAATGAACTGCCTGTGTGGAGAGTTCTCCGTTCACCTCTGCCTTGTCCTCTTGCAGTGGGAACCTTCAGTGAAGAAGAGAGGTTATGCATTGGTGGGTAAGGTCTGATGCTGCTTTCTGAGGACCCTTCTCTGGAGAGGCTGAGGAAGTGGCTGATGTCCCTTCATTTCACCTTGAAATTAGACTTTAAAGATTGGTATTTAATTTCAGTTAGGTAGCAGAACTGCAGATACATGAATGATAAAGCCCCATACTGTGTAGAGAAGCCTAGGAAAAGCTGTGTAAACTGTATAAAATTTTTACTCTTAGGATGGGTTCAGGAAGAGGAATTTTGAGGTTTAAGGAAAAAAAAAAAGATCTGTGCAGAACATTTATATTCTGTGGTTACTTAGTTTGGGAACTTTTTTAAGTTTAGGAGCATTTTAATTATCATGTCTCAGTATGTTTACCCAGAGTTGGCATATTTAGAGTTCTGAAAGCCCTGGACACATATTTTTCCTGAAGTTTTCTCATTTGCTACTCAGGAATTTTTACATGAGGAATTAAAGATTAATGGTTTCAGTAATAACTAGTTTAATTGCTAAATGAATCCTTATGTGTTTGATAAAATAGCATTATGTATCTTCTTCTGTGTATTTTCCTAAGAGGAGTAAAAAAGCAGATAGGTACTTTGGAGATCTTGAGTTCTTTTTCTTTAAAACAGAGTTCACCAGTTACTTTATGTTTAATATTCCTTATTTTAAATTTCATTGAAAAGCAGATATTTTAAATTTTAAAATCACTCATCGAAGTAGTTCTTTGTAGGTGAAGTGTTTTATGTTGTAATCTGAGTTTATTTTATAAGCTGGATTTTGTAAATTGAGAAATACAAGTGTTAGTGATATTCCAGTTCTTGATACATGGAAAGCAGTAGGTTTTCTGACTCTTTGGTAAGAGTCTTCTGTTTTTCTTTAGTCAAGCCTTTCTGATTAGAAAGACTGGCAGAAGTTTTGTATTTGCTGTAGAGTTGTATCCAAGGTAGGATCTTGTGAAAGAAATACCTACAAAATGTTTACAGTTTTAGATAACTTTTGGAGACGTAGATAAATTCAAGTATGGTACTAGCCAAACACAGGTCATTGTAGTTTCGCTTGGTGGCAACATTTGGTAACGAGGAAATAGTGACATTTCTGCTCTCAGATGGTAGCAGACCAAAGTCCAAAAGGAAATGTCTTTGTCCTAGCTGTCAGGTGGCGAAGTTAGTTTTTTTCTTCTAATGGGCCCTCTTTGAACAGTTTAATAATAATCACCCTTTGTGTTTTGTCTGCTTGAAACCAGACAACTTAAAATAGTTATCCAGTAATGAAAGACTGGAGCCTTGTGGGCAATATTATACTCTCATTTGGTATTACAGTTTTCTTGGGTTACAGCTCATTGCCGCAGCAAGTGATTGAAGAAGGAGTCCTGTTCCTGCCCCTGAGCTACAGCTAAGGTACAAGGAGTGGCTTGGGGGTAAGGAGTCCTTCCTCACCAGACGTGGTTTGTATTTATTAAGACTGCTTGTCGGAAGTTGACATTCTGCACTGATTTTTTTTCCCCCTTAATTGTTATTCATGACTCATACATTCATTACTGATGTTTATAGGTTTTTTAAAATCTAGGAATTTATGTGCAGACTGCTGTCGAATCTTCTTACCTTTAGATTACAAAATCACTTGAAAAAGAAATAGCTTGAAAGCAGTGAGGGACAAACTCTAAGGTAATAATTTTCATCTAGTGCCTTTGCTGTATTGTAGTACAAGTATAATTTTTCTGTTCAAGATAAAGATTACCTCT